TACTCTTTAAGATTTTGGAAAAATATAAAGTCTTATCAAGGAAACAGGGTCAAGTCCAATTCAAGTTCCAAGTCATTGGTGTAAAAGTCCAAGTCAAGTCACAAGTCTCAACATTTTTTCAAGTCAAGTCTAAAGTCATAATATTAATGACTTGAGTCCAAGGAATGTGACTCGAGTCCCCTTTAATGCTCATGTTTCTTAGAAGGGTCAATGATCATTTCCAAATTATTCCATCATTCTGCAGAGAGAAAAATTACTTGTAATTAGAAAACATTTACAGCAGCCGCCAAATGTCCCTGAAGGCTTTTCATCTGAAGGAATCACAAGACCAAAGTAGAGATGTTTACCAGTAATGCACAGCAGCACGTTTTTAGGAAATAAAACGGCTTTGAGCACAAACCCAACCCAGCCAGTCGAGGCAGATGGCCGCCTGTCCTGAGCCTGGTTCTGCTGGAGGTTTCTTCCTGATTAGCAGGGAGTTTTTCCTCTCCACCATTTGCTCTGGATGGGAGACTGTGATGAAGTGATTTAATGCAGCCTGCTGATTTCTTCTTTAGATTGTTCTTTTTATGTACAGTGCCCTGAGACAACATATGTTGTGACTTGGTGCTATATAAACAAACTGAATTGATATGAAACACCTCATACCAATTGTCAGCACAGTGGTGGGAGGGTTGATGGTTTGGGCTCCCTAAAGTCACTGAGTCGACCACGAGCTCCTCTGTAGACCAAAGAATTGGAGTCAATTGTGAGAACATCTGTTTAACAAGTTTGGACCAAACTGGGTCATGATGCAACAGAACAATGATCCCAAACACAGCAGCTAATATACATCAGAACAGCTCAAAACGAGAAGAAAATAAAAATCATGGTGCAGCGATGGTCCAGTCTTAAGTCCAAAACCTCAGATAGATTGAAATGTGGTGGGACCATCAGAGACCAGAAACCTCAAGGAACTGAAGCAACCCTGGAAAGAGTGGGACACAATTTGTCCACAACCATGTGAATGACTGATAGCCCATTAGAAATGAGGAGCTGCTGGTGTGACCAATGTTTCCATGTACTGCTTTATGTTTTTGTTTAATAAATAATGATTATATTTGTTATGGTTTTATTTATATGGGGTTAGATTTAAATAATCTTTGAACCTGGTGAAGATCAGATCAGTTTTATTCTGTCCTGACATGTAAAACCCTAGAGATAAAACAGGTGAAAGGTGGTTCATGACTGTATATTTGGCTGACAACAGAAACATAAAATATTTACTAAAGGATAAGTTTTTGATCGAATGTGAGAGAATTTGCGTTTAGATTTAGTAAAAATTATACTTTCAGGTGTTTTAGTACCATATTACGGAGCCTGCGAGGGGACGAGAGATTTTTTTTCTTTTGCGTTCCCACGCAATAGTATTGCGTTTTCTCGCAATACCTTTTGCGTTCCCTCGCAAAAGTAGTTTATCACTGTTGTGCCTGCCTGTTTATTAGCAAACTCACATGTTCACCATTAGCGAGTTAGCCTACTGCTTTAATTCAGCTTCAGAATGAATTTATCACACAGCCACGCATGGAGATATGTCATATGCCGATATTTTAAAACAGTACAGCCACACAACATCAATGTCAATTTTAAGAATTTGTGGCGACACATCCTGTTTTGGTAACTGGATATTTCAAAATAAAAGTCTGATTTAATTCAGTTCATACAGTGGTTTGCAAAAGTATTCATACCCCTTGAACTTTTCCATATTTTGTCACATTACAA